TACTTAATTTTTGTAAATGACTGCGCTTTTTTGAAAGTAAATATCAAGTTGGATTTGCTTACAAATAGTCTAACCAACCTGCTGGTTTATCACTGAGGATAAAATATTCGATTCAGTATATACAGTGTGTGAAAGCCAAATGGAATAAATTCATTATTTCGGTTACTGTACATATTTGAAAAAAATCCGGAAACACGTCAAATGAAAATTATAATTTAACATTACTTAACATTCTTCAACATAAAAATGCCACCCCTACCTTCAACCCCCGTTGAATAACAGGTACAACACCCAATTTTTTGAATGGGAAGTATAGATTTGTGATATATCGTTTGAAAGTTCTCTCCATTCTCTATTCAAAATGTTATCGCTTTCAAGTTCATTGCAAGAATTAAGATGAAATAAATTGAAATCATGTGGTAGGTCTAAAGTGAGTGGATCTATTCGACCCTTCACCGCAACCCACAAGGGTTTATTGTGGCTCACACTTATTCACACTCGGACAAATAAACCCAGTTTCTTAAAGAATCTAATTAATTTGTATGGTGAGTGGTCTTTCAGGTCAGAGTACGGATCTGCCAAACTCAAAGAACCTGATTCCGTCCCCAGCGGGGCAGGCACAAGTAAGTATATGCTCTGCTGTTTCATCATTTTCCAGACAGAGGCGACACACACTATTTTCCGACAGTCCAAATCTCTGCATATGATGATTCAAATGACAGTGACCTGTAAGAAGGCCTGTTAGAAATCGTAATTCATCCCTACTGTAGTCCAACAACTGTTTGGAATCAAGCTTCAAAAGGTGAATAAACGCCTTGGAGTGAGCCAATCCTGGAAGATTCTGCCCGAAGTCCATAAATCTTTTTGTCATCCAGGTGTTCAGTGTTTGTTTGGCAAAGCCCAAAGCAATGCCAATGACAGGTTCTGGCCGCTTGCAGCACCCTCCTTTGCAAGAGAGTCAGCAGCTTCATTGCCTTCCAGGCCAGTATGGCCAGGAATCCAGACCAGAGACAATCCGTTAAGTCTTCCTATCGAGGAGAGTCGTTTTTGGCAGTTTGCTACCACTTTAGACGTTGCTCGGTAGGAGCCAAGAGCTTCCAACGCCGCTTGACTGTCCGAGAATATTTTATTGACTTGTGAGTGAGGTTGGATTTACCCAATATCTCCGCACACAATTCAATAGCGTAAATTTCCGCTTGAAATACAGTCGCATAAGTGCAACAGTCTGTTGCACTCTGCATTGAATTGATTTGTGCAATTGTCAATGTGCACAAGTCTGTATGCAGTCCATCTAGCCTCTCTTTCCAGGAGAATGTGGAGAGGAGGTAGATCTAGAAGGATCTCCATTGCTGCTGACGGTGTGGTACTGTTGGCACCACTGATAGCCAGAGAAGCCTGTCTCTGTAAGCCAGAGAGCTTCGCTTGGGTTGTTTTCTGTAAAGCTTTCGGCCACCAAGCAATTGCACTATAAGTGATCATTGGTCTGACAATCATCACATGAATCCAATGGATTTGTTTGAGACCTAAACCCCAAGTTTTACCACAAATCCTTCGACATGTCCATAGAGACAGTCTGGCTTTGTGTAAAACTTTTTCCAAGTCAGCGTTCTAGGTGAGTCTTTTATCAAGGACAATGCCAAGATATTTCACCTCCGTTCCAAATGGAATGACCACACCATTGAGGGAAAGTGACATTAGATCGTCCAATTTTCTTCTCTTGGTGAAGAGGATTAACACAGTTTTGCTGGGGTTGACAGGCATCTGCTCCCTCAGGCACCAACTGTAAACAACGTCCATCGTGTTTTGGAGGATATTACAAGCTACCCTTCCCGACAGGGGTCTTGCCAAGCTTGCCAAGTCTTGCCAAGTCTGCATAAGCTTGCAGATCAACTTTTCTTCTGTTGAGGGCATCAAGCAGACTATCCACCAGTACCCCACCTTGAGGCAGCCCCTGGTGACCCTGAACCTGATAGTCACGCCTTGAAGAGTCGTAGTTGTTACTACGAAATTCGATAAAATACACTCAAAAACTAAAATGTAATGCAAAACGTAATGAAATGTAGAATACTATGTATGTTAAAGAAGTTAACGTCTTGGCAATATCCTAATCTCAAATAAAACTGTCTTTCAACATTATTAAACATATCAGGCATGACCCACCGAATCACAAGCGTTATTCGTTCTTTTAAGTCATTCAAATCTGAAGGTGTAGTTTTGCATCCCCATAAAAAGATATCTATTGATGAAAGATCAGATGATCGCGCTGGCCATTCAATGGATCCTCGCCTCCCTATCCACCGATTGGGAAATGTTGTATCGAGGTATTGCCGGACATTAACTTGGTCGTATTCACTGGAACTTGAGGGTTTGCTGGATCAGGATATAGTGCCATTCAAGTTGACCTCAATAAAAAAGGGATCCACGATATGGTTTTCTACAATCCCTACCCTAACATCAACCTTTTGAAGGTATTTCGTATGTTCTTCTCGCATCCAGTGAGGATTCTCCAGTAGCGGCAATTTTGCCGATTAGCATGACCGTTAATAGACAAAGTACACTCATCAGAAAACATAACTTCTTCTAATTGGATGATATTGTTATCCAAAATCGTCTTCCATGAGCTCCTGAGTAGGTATCATTTTATAGGAATGCATTTTATTTTCTTTTAATATGTTTACCATCGATGTAGGTATGGCTCACATTGAATGTAGTGAATGCCTGTCTACTCGATGTATATGGGTTTTCCTCAAAATCAAGCATCACATCTAATATGAGTTCATGACTCATTGCATTGGCAGCTGCTTTTTTATCTATCCCACATGACCAAGATCGCGAAACTGCTTCTCTATTTTGCTTATTGTTCCTCAAGATATTGGCGGTAAATTAGGAAATTTCACATGAAATAGGCTCTTCCTGTTGTGTTCGGGTTTTATCCGTAACCAATAATTTGTGAAACTGTTATTTATCCATTTCCGTTAATCTAACCATTTGTAAGACTTCAAGTTATCAAACTTTAAACTTGAATTAAAATACTGACAACTGATGTTGTAACATACAAAACAAGTTGACAAGGCGTTTTAAACTAACGTTGCCACGGAAATTATTTGCAGTTTTTTAAAAGATACCGTCTAAAAAGAACATTGCTATAGTTTTTGCTTACTTTCAACATGAAATAAGTTTTGAGAATATTGCAATAAGTTTTGAGTGTATTTTATCGAATTTAGGTAACCACATGATTTTAATTTATTTTATCTCAATTGTTGCAATAAACTTGAAAACAATAACATTTTTGAAGAGAGTATGGAGGAACCTTTCAAACGATACATCACAAACCTATACTTCCCATTTCAAAAATTGGGTGTTGAAGGTAGTGGTAGAATTTTTCCGTTGAAGTATGTCAAATTATAATTTAAACTTGACGTGTTTCGGAATTTTGTTAAAATATATACCGTAACCGAAATAATGAATTTATTCCATTTGGCTTTTACATTGAAATTATCATTGAAATTTTTGATAACAGTTTTTCTTTTATTATTAAACACGGATGTGGGTAGTATCATATCCAGAGAATACATAATTGAAGAAATACCTAATGGTGTGTTATAATATCAGGAAATTTTATGTAGATCCATGGTTTTTGTCGAATACAATCATTCTAAGGCATTAGGTACCTTTGTCTAGTTGACGAAAACATTTTTTACAAGGTGCTTGAGCCACCAATATCACCAATACATCAATATCCTCTGTTACAACTACATCTTGGAAGTTACTACTAGAAGTGATTGTACAAATTAATGACCCACATCGATTTCTGTTTGACTACAGTCAAAATACAGTTTAGTTCCATCATTACTATGTTCATCAAAAACAACTTCAACGTTGATGATACCATAGTTAGGAATCACTTGAATATACAGTGTTACCATTAAAGTGCGCACCATATGAGAAACTTTTTTTTCGAAAAGTTTCAATGAAGTTTAACTTCGGCACTTGTTTGTGCTTTAAATTTAACTCAAAATGATGCGGACAACTGCGACCCACTGACGTTCAGAGTTTGTCAAATTAAACTTTTTTTTTTAATTGAAAAAGTACATTTCTAGAACGAATTTAACAAAAAGTTACTTGAAAGAGTTGTGTCTACGGCAATTTTATATCCATGTGCCAAATTTTATGCAACTAGGATAAAGTTAACGTTTTGCTTATTTTTGACAGATATCCCCTTTNAATTTCTCTCTAAAAATGTCCGTATAAGTAAAAATTCATCAGAAAAGTTAAACTCCATGATGAGTTTGTTATGTATACATGAATTGATGACAATTAACCGAACTTCTTTTTTAAAATAAAGGGGATATTTGTCAAAAATAAGCAAAACGGTAACTTCATCCTAGTTGCATAAAATTTGGCATATGGATATAAAATTGCCGTAGACACAACTTTTTCAAGTAACTTTTTGTTAAATTCGATCTAGAAATGCACAGTTTTTTCAAAAAAAAAAAGTTGAATTTGACAAACACTGTACGTCAGTGGGTCGCAGTTGGCCGCATCATTTCAAGTTGAATTTAAAGCACAAACAAGTGCCGAAGTTAAACTCCATTGAAACTTTTCGAAAAAAAGTTTCCCATATGGTGCGCACTTTAATGGTGACACAGTATATACTGTTTTCAATAATTATACAAAGGTTTTTTTAAGAAAAACACGCAACACTAAATTTTTCACATAAATATTACACATTGTTTAACGAATGAATAATTCTATTCCCGCCTCAAAAGGTTTGTGGTTGAAAAAATGAAAAATTTGTCAAACTCGGAGCTGTTTCTGAGGACTTTCAAGGAAAACACTTGATTTGATATGAGAGTACATGAAGAATATAGATGGATCTCACAAAGAAAACTAAAATCAGAATTCTACAACACGTTTGTAGATACACTTTTTGTGAAAAATAGAATAGGGTTTTTTTTTGTTTAGAATTCACACATGAAGGCATTTGGCACTATTCTGACCTGATAATCTTCCACATCATTTGTCACTTCGTTGTCACTACCAGAATATGAAGGCCTTGACAAGGACGACTGCGTCATTCCAACCGATTAGCCGTATTGTATTTTTTCACATTGCTACGCATTCCGAATTCCGTATCGAAGTCAACACTTCGAACTTTCGTGGCGCACTGGATTTGTTGATTTCCCCCTTCTCCAGCTACCTATTTGATGATGATTAGTGAAACCAACAAGTTTACCTTTGGGTATTATGACTTATTCATATGACGTAGAAAATTGTTGAACGCATAAACATTAGGAGAGGCGAGGAGGTGCTTCAATTGCAAGGTTTATTTATATACAGAGTGATCCACAGTAGCAGATGTTCATTAGTTTTACTATAAGTGGTGATTCTTGTCGAGGGCTACTGTTAGTACATCAATTTAACAAACAATAAATGATAATTCTCTGGTCATTTGAAATATTTCAAACTCGCCTTATTTTGTCCGGTTATTTGGTGAATTATTTATTCTTTTCATTCTTATGTAGGGGAAGGATGGATAAAGTGGCCCAGGCAGGTAAAGTGGCCACCTTCTGTTTCCGGACGAACTGATAACAGTTATCTGTCAACGACATATGGCCGGGTCCGTGCTCGTCTTCAGATTTTATGGTGAAATAATTGTGCTTTGTGGTATCTGATCTAAGGTGAGTGATTTGAACATAATTAAAAAGTAATGTCATCAGTTTCATAGAAAGACAATGGACGATTTTATCAATTTAGTGGATTAATTGAGCTGCAAAGTGGATCAATATAACCTCATTTGTCATTTTTTGTATATATTTTTTCGCCGCATGCTAAATCGGGTAAAATGGCCCACCAATAGTAGTAGTAGTAGACTTTATTTTAGGAATCCTAATATACAATATATATTTATGCATATATGAATAATTTATATACATATGTAATTTTCAGTGCGTCATGTATTACAATTTCATATATTCTAATAATAACTTTTTTAATACTTTTAAGGAATTTACATGTTTTATTTCATCAGGTAACTTATTGAAACTATCTAAACCTTTAAAGAACAATGAATTCATTCCACTCTTACAGTTTGTTCGGGATCTATAAAATGTATTAGGTAAGGTAGGTAATAGGTAAGGTGAAGTGACCTGGTGGGCCCTTTTACCTCCTTACTGCTTAATTTTTCTGCAAACAAATAATGTTTTGTGTTATTTCAGTTATGCCAAATAAATACACACGGACGTCACAGCAGCAGGAATGCAGTTCAGAAGTAATGTATAAAGCTATACAGCTGTACGAAAAGGTGAAATGGGTTTTTTAAAAGCAAGCAAAGCCTTCGGTGTTCCTCGAACAACGCTCAAACGGCGTCTAAATGGAAAAAACAAAGACGCCGTTGTAAATATAAAAATAATGGGGTGTCGTCGTCCAATTTTTAGTCCAAAACAAGAGGAAGAATCAGGACGTTAATACAAATACACCAGGTGCAGTTACCCCACCAACATTTAATCCTTACTTAAACCCGCAACCCATAACCCTTGCAACATATTTCCGATTCCCAAAGCATTGCCTAAGACTAGAATTGTGAATAGAAAAAGGGGGCGTACGGTAATTTTAACCAGCAGCTCATATAAAAATGAGTTGCAAGAAGAAACAATACAGCAAGAACAAAAGAAAGCTACAGGGAGAGTGAAAAAAGCTACTTTTGAACCAACCCCAACTAAAACTGCCAAAAAATGAAAAAACGTGGCACGAACGTTGCTAAAAAGAAAAGTAACAAATATACTAACGACGATGATGACACAGATGATGACTCTGAATGCTTTCACTGTGACGTAGTTTGGTCTAAATCAAAACATGAAGATGGTTGGATACGGTATTCTAGTTGTAAGCGATGGGTCCATGAAGAGTGCTCAGGTTGTGATTTCAACAATGATAACTTTCATTGTGAACTTTGTTCCTAAGAATATTTTCTATTAGGTTCGATTATGAATGAACAAATACAAATGAAGAGGTTGTTACTTATACTCTATTGATTAGTAGGTGAAAGTTGATTTAATTTGTTAATAATGAATAATTGAGAAGAAGCTAACAAGTTAAGACTTGATTTTAACAATTAATATAAAAGGCTGTTGATAAGTAAATAAAGACTGTTTATGATGGGTAAACGTAAGTATATTTAGATCAAGAAAAATAAAATACTCTTGATTATTGTGAATCAATATGTAGAATTACCATACTTATTGAATTAAAAACTGTTTAATTCAAGTATTTTTCTATGCAAAATTTCAATAAATCTGTATTAAAATAACATAATTCTGATGTTTTATTTGAAGTAGGCCACTTTACCCGTTTATGAATTTGTATATGCCATTTTACCCGACCAGGATAGGTGAAGTGGTCAATTTCCCGTTTCAACTTCAATCTTGAATTATTCTAAAATTATCAGAATATTGGTCTGTAAACAATATAATATCAAAAGTACACGGATAATAATAAACAAACAAACTGTAAAAAGGTTGACATTTATTCGGTTGGCGTGGGTTTAAAGCTTAGAGTGGCCACTTTACCCTACCTTCCCCTAATAGAGAACAAATATTGGGAGGTTATGAAATATAATGATTTTTTGCCGAAAAAACATTTTCAGTGGATATTTCCGTTGGTTGAATTGAGAGCCCAATTACTATTCTCTATCAGAAGTATTGGTGCAGGAAAAAAGTGTTTTTGGTATACCTTCCAATTCTGCTAATTCCACAATTCTACGTCAACAATTACTGAAGATACGGCTTCCTTGAGAAAAAAGGCAAATTTGGATTCTTCAGGCCTAATATTTTTTCAGGAAAGAGACGTACCTGTAGGAATTTTGATCCAATTTTGTCCCCTAGTATGATTTACCGTAAAAATTGTTTCTTCCATCGCGAATGGCGGGCAGTGTATATCACTTAGCCCAATCCCATTCATTAGGTGGTAGGTGCATTTTGAGCATTTCCATCAGTCCTGAGAGTTTCATCATTCTACATGAAAATTTCTATCAGTTCTAAGAGTTTTATCATTCTACCTCAATTATTACGGAAGATACGGGGGTGTTTCCATGAAAAGTGATACAAATATGGATTTTTCAGTAGTGATTTGGGGATTCTGAGCACGAATCTGAAGGAATTTTCAGCCTATTTTGCCCCCCAGTATGATTCACCGTGAAAATGGCTACTTTCATCGCGGTCAGTGTATATCACTTAGGCCAACATCATTTATGCAGTGAATGTATTTTCAATATTATCATCAATCTTGCGAGTTCCATCATTCTACCTTGATTATTACGGAAGTTACGGGGGTGTTTCCATGAGAAGTAAGGCAAATTTGGATTTTTCAGGGCTGATATTTTTTCAGGAAACAGAAACCTCTAAGAATTTCAATCCAATTTTGCCCCTAGTATGATTTAACGTAAAAATGGTTCCTTCCATCGCGAATGACGGGCAGTGTATATCACTTTGGCCAACCCCATTCAGGTGGTATGTGCATTTTGAACATTTATATCAGTTCTTGAGAGTTTCATCATTCTACCTCAATTATTACGGAAGATACGGGGGTGTTTCCATGAAAAGTGAGACAAATATGGATTTTTCAGTAGTGATTTGGGGATTCTGATCACGAATCTGAAGGAATTTTCAGCCTATTTTGCCCCCCAGTATGATTTACCGAGAAAATGGCTACTTCCATCGTGGACAGTGTATATCACTTAGGCCAACATCATTTATGCAGTAGATGTATTTTCAACATTATCATCAATCTTGCGAGTTTCATCATTCTACCTTGATAATTACGAAAGTTATGGGGGTGTTTCCATGAAAAGTGAGGCAAATTTGGATTTTTCAGGGCTGAAATTTTTCAGTAAAAAGGTGTTCATGTAGTAATTTGGGGGGTTCTGATCATGAATCTGGGGAAATATTTAGCCTATTTTGACTCCTCATGACTCTCCTTGATATTCCATTCTTTTGACGTGTGTTACAATAAATATAGCTGTTTGTAATTGAGATGTTTCAGAATAGGATTATTTTCGGAAACGTTTTTTCTGCAATTGACTATTCAACTTGTAGGCAAAATTCATCAATACACGACTAATTGTACCCATCAGTGATTTATATTAGGTAGTAACATTAACTTTTCGAGATAAAATTTTCAGTTTGCTTTTTATTGTACTTCAATAAATTCTCCATTGGCTTAGTATTATTTATTTTTCGAATTGTGGAAGGTTATACACCAAAAAACAGTGAAAAACACTGATGATTCTTCCACAAAAATGTCTTTCAAAGAATATGACAGATTGTTCTGTAATGTGAGATGTGCAAATGTTCTAATGTGATGTTAACACTTGTCATTTACTATACCATAAATAAGAAGAAGATGAACCATCTTTCTGTGTTTAGGTTATGTTTTCTAACCGATTTATTATGTCAATATTGTTTTTGTGTTTTCAATGTTTTTATTGTTTTAAAATGTTATTCTTTGAGTTTAAAGTGCATGCATTGTAGGTGCAGTTTTAGTTTTTTGTAAAAATCAACAACGATGTACAAACAATCACATTTTAATGCAAATCTCAGGATATGAAACAAACTATTTACATAATATCTAGAAACGGAACCTGAACGAAATTTAGTTTTCTGTATTTTCAAAATATTTTGCAAAAGAATTGAAATTTGACATGGATAGGTGAGTTTTGGTAAATAAATAAATCGCATC